ACTAATGCCACTTGCCATGCAAGAAAGTCAGAGATGTAACTGAAGAAGAAAAGGTGTCGTAGGATGTGCTGGTTTGAAAAGCAAACCAGTGAGAGACTCTGAGTCAGAAGTACAATTTAATATGAACAACACAACAAAACAACACAAATGCAACGGTACAAAAAAAAGTAACCTGGCAGAGTCAGAAAATAACCTGACACCCTGTCAGTCAGGGTGTAGTTGTAGTAGTAGCCCGATTAAATGGTGGCTGCAGTCCTCCTGGAGTGATGGGTTTGTTGGAGCAGTGATCCCACAGATCTGCTCCTCTCCTGAAGGTCCAGCAGCAGCTCTTGTCCTCTGGAAATCCAGCAGGCAAAGGGCTCTGTGCTGGTCCAAACCCAGCTTATATCCCTGTGAGCAGGTTTGGCTCCCCAACCCCTGGGGTGAGTCCCCTCACCATGGGACAGGGATAAGGATCACTGGGAGGATGTGCCATGCATGGTTAATCAGAGACAGCCACTGAGGGAGCCATCAGGATTGCCCTGAGGGAGGGACAAGGTGATACCGATCACTGCCCCACCTGCTTTAACAGCTTGTGAAGATGATAATAGAATACATCCCATGGATACCCCCCACACTGCAACCCAGGACATAGGAAAACTTCAGAAAGTCCATTTCAAGACCACAGCACAAAACTGCAACACACTCTTCTGAGCAAGAGGCTGGAATTATTTACAGAGGTTCAGCAATGCTTTGGAAAGACTGGCTGTGAACCTAGCCACGAGGGTGTACTAATTTCTCCTACTTTCCCAGCCAGTTATCAACACATAACGAAGCTTTCAAAAATATTCTGTAGTGCTTACAGCTGTGAAGCAACTCCTACAAAATTCCTGAGGCACCAGTTTGAAGCAGTAGCTGTTATAGAAGAACTGTAAAACCCCTCTAATTTATCCAGATGGTAAAGCCTAATGATAGTCAAAATCTACCTTAGACATAAATCAGCTCATTTTCACCTGTGCTAGCTCCCTGAACCAGCTCCTCACTGAGTTCCAGCGCTGGCTGATGGCAGGAGCATGTGAGCAGGACAGGCAGCCCTGGCCATGGGCCACCTGCAACCCACAGGGTCAGGTACCAACTGCAGCAACTGCCTGGGAGGTCTGACCACAGCTGAACTGGACAGCTCTGCTCCCACCCCACATGGGCACCCAGAGCTTGTGGCCACAGCTCACCTAGCAAAGGGAATTACTGGCAGAGGCAACCAAGTCTGCAGCAAAGAAGTTTCCTGGCAGATCAATCACCTGAATCAGGTCACCTTCTAGTGAGAAGTATCAGATTGGACCTAAAAGGGCAGCAGAAAACTGAGTAAGAGTGGAGGAAACTGTCTCCCTGGTGGCACTTAGCAAAATAGGAAATTAAAATAATAATTAAAAAAAAGTAGGAAATAAAAAGCCATCCTTAGTCACAGTAATGGCTGCTTAAACTTCACCAGGAAGAACCGAGTCCTGGTCACCAGGGCCAGTCAGAAGGGTGAAATTCCTGGAGTTTGCTTCAAGGTTGTCTGAGTAACTGTGTCTCTCAGCCTTGCACAAGAGCAAGACAGAGAGACAGAGACAAATTCCTTCTGTGCATCTCAAACACCAATAAATCTGAGCGGGTTAATTAAAAAAAAAACAACTCACACCCCAAATGTCCTGTTGCCTAAGCTACAATTTGCCTATTAGACTATTCACCACCAAGCAAGATACAGCACCATACAAGGAGAGGGCAGAACATGCTCCCAAGGGCAGGTCACACTTCAGCTGCCAGGAAACCTCACAGCGAGATCCACCTGGGCACCACTTCTTGGGTGATGGAAGCTGCTTCAGAGCAGATGAAAGGAGGTTTCCAAATTGGACAGCATTTCCATTTTCTAATCATAGAATCATAGAATCAGCCAGGTTGGAAGAGACCTCAAAGATCATCGAGTCCAACCCTACCGTGGTGACTAGGCCATGGCACTAAGTGTCACATCCAGTCTCAGCTTGAAAACCTCCAGGGATGCTGAACCCACCACCTCCCTGGGCAGCACATTCCAATGCCTGATCACTCTCTCTGTAAAAAATCTCTTCCTAATCTCCAACCTAACCCTCCCCTGGCAGAGCTTGAGTCTGTGCCCTCTTGTCCTACTGCTGGTTGCCTGGGAGAAGAGACCAACCCCCACCTGACTCCAACCTCCTGTCAGGGAGTTGTAGAGGGTGATAAGGTCTCCCCTGAGCCTCCTCTTCTCCAGGCTAAACAACCCCAACTCCCTCAGCCTCTCCTCATGGCACTTGTGCTCGAGTCCCTTCACCAGCCTCGTTGCTCTTCTCTGGACCTGCTCCAGCACCTCAGTGTCCCTCCTGAACTGAGAGGCCCAGAACTGCACACAGTACTCAAGGTGTGACCTCACCAGCACTGAGTACAGGGGCAGGTGAGCATTGAGCTGTGATACCTAGCTGTGCCAGCTATTTGATAAGTAACAAAGACTAGAAATAAAATAGGCCTCAGTCATAAACAATGGGATTAATTCACAGTTATGTTCAGACAAATGTCCAAATTGCTAACAAACAGGGTAATGCTGAAGAATCCTCTTGCTGCAGCTGGATAGCAACTTAGATACATATAAGTGGTTATGGTCTAGATAAAGGTTTTGGCAGGTTTCAGCTCCAAGGAAAAGGCATGAACCCATATGGACAAACCATATTCCTTTTCCATAGAAGACTTTGGCATACTAGTATGTTTTAAATGGAGAGTTGCATGCTGTTCTGTATAGAGCAGAGACTTTATTACATGCCCATTTATACAGTACACACATATACAGGAAGAACAACCATATGGGAAGTCAAAGATGCTCTTGTATCTGCCTAGAGGCAACAACTTCTACATAATATATACTGTTTCAGCTTGGATGGTTGAACTCATTCATCTATTGCATGTAGCTGAAGTATTTTATATGCCCCAAAACTTTAGTTCAAATGAAATTTTCTCCTCTTGTGAAAAATTTCTGCATCACTGAGAATAAATTCTGAAAAATCTCTGAACTTTGAGAACAATCAGTATTTGAGTTAATATGTGTGGGAAAAGCTATTGTGTTGGATAGAAATATATATTTTTTTCTCCTATAATTACCTCAAATTTTCTAAAATAGCCTTCAGCTCTGAGGAAAAAGGACAGTAAAAAAATGAGCCTTATTTTTAAAAGTTTACTACATGCTTGACTCCACTAGTACTTGCTGGACAGGAGGAGAGGAAAGAAGTCTAGGTCTTTTCTGTTGGGCCTTGATTCTCCCTGTCATTAAGTTTCATCCATTATTACCTTGCCATTCCATGCAGAAGATAAATAGTCTCACCAAAAGTTAGCATCACGTGAGATTCTTTGTGCCTGCACAGATAAGCTTCTGAAAATAAATATGCTGAATTCAATAATATAGTTTCTATGTCATTAAAGTTACTGATACCCTACAGTTAGATATGGATTTCAAAGTTTATTGGCGGGTTATTTATCTCAGTGAAAGTTTATTGGGGGTTATTTACCTCTAGGGTGCCAGGTCATTAGATACTTGCATAAAAAGCTTTTTTATTTGATGAGACTGGATGTGGCACTTAGTGCCAGGGTCTAGTAATGACGGTAGGGTTGGACTCAATAATCTTTGAGGTCTCTTCCAATCCAGTTGATTCTATGATTCTATGATCTCCTTCATTCCTGGTAGCATCCAAGGAGCAGAACTCTGCACAAAGTTTGCCCTTTGTGTGGCCCTGCATCTGTGCAGTGCTGCAGAGCAGAGGTAGGATGGAGGAAGTCAGACCAGGCTGTGCTAAGATTTTAGGGCTTCATTATCTGTTCACCAAAAGAATCCTTCACTAGCTTGTTATGAGTAGCTTGGTGGCTAAAGAGCATCTATGGTAATCTCAGGATGGTTTTTGGACCAAAGTTACAGCAAAAGTACTGAACTATTTGATAGGAAGTTCCAGAGCCTGCCAGACTCACTTTTCTGCTTTTGTACAACTGAGACAAACTTTTGATGTGGATCTTGGCTTTATCTAGTCAATTAGTGTGATGATATAATTTCCAGTAGCAGATTTAATTTTCAGTATTAAATTGCCTCAGAGATTTCTTGATTTAATAATGTATAATTTATTCTTTGCTTTGAAATAAAACTGAAGTTGTAAAAAATAAATGACATGTTATTTAAAATTCTCTATGACAATGTTTCGGTGAAATTGGTGTTGAGGAGTCATTTCAAATCTTACGGATTATCTATTCAAGTATAAGTGCCTGTGAGTTAGAAGGCTTTTAGTCTGGATTCTTAAAGCAATGATGTATATACAATTGCACCAACTGTCTGGTTAGCTTAACTTTATTCTATTACCCAGCTTCCCAAGGGAATAAAAGTCTCAGGGACAACTACATTCTTTCCAGTTTGGTTGAAACTGGCAGTGGGTAGAGGAGAGAGCCCTGCACTAATGCTTCCATAACAGAAAGGCAGATAGGACTTGATCCTGCAGGGAGTTTGCATTGCACATAAATGAAATGACACACTTTAGTTGGCTGGAGATACCAGAGAGAGTACGAGGAGAACTGGGATTAATCAAGGCACACATAGGAGTCAGGCATAGGGAGAGAGACACAGATCCTCAGAGCAGTCTAGAGAGTTTGAGTCAAGGTATCAAAATAAAATCAATGGTGCAAACAGAGATCTACATTGTTTTCCCCCTGCTGAGGCCAGCACACTGTGTCAAAATGGTTCTAGCCTACACCAGCTGGAAACTGTCCATTACCAGCACTGATAAGGCAGAAATTGGCATTTTCTTTACCACAGTCTACAAACCAGAGAGTTTCATGTTAGATGCCTACAAGATTTATTTGACGTTTTAATCTATAAATACATGAGGTTTCACCAGTAAAAGCACAGAAATTTTCTCAGTGGTCATTGTCACTGCTTACATCTTGAACAACATCACATGTAGTATTGCATATGGATAAGCAAACTTTGGTTCTCTTCCTGAGGACCAAGCTCTCTTACTTGTTAAACAATGGCTTGCAGGGGACAACAAGGCAGCTGAAGGCCACACTGAATGCCACACTCTGGAAAGCTTGGGACACTGTAGAACTTAATTAGTTTTTTGAAGGCACTTTTTTTAAACATCATCATGTCTTCAGGCAGCCTAGAAAGAACTCTGGTGTTTGCACGAGACTCCTCGTCAGTGGCTGCTGCTTTGGGATTACACGGCTCAACACTACCAGTCACTGGCACACTGGTGCAGCTAAGGGAACGTGCTGTCTTTTTCTTGCTTTGAACAGATAAATAACTGAATAAAAAAGAGGTTAACTTATGTTTGGTAACATCTTGGACATCTTCTGGATAACAGTCATCTAGAGGATCTCCTTGACCTTTCACTTGTTGACTAATCACACATGCACTGGGACTCACTCCTAACTTCTTAGGCTGAACTACTGTTTTTCTGGAAGGTGTTTTGCACTTCCCTCTGTCTAGATAAACCTGAGAAGCATCACTAATGGCATCAGCACTAGGCTCTTCTATCATATCAGGGATTCTTGCCCCATCACCAGAGCTGATACAGTGCAACCCATAATTCTGGCTAACAATTTGGGCTGCAGTGTTTTGAATGATGTTCCAGTCCTGCAGGATATCTTCCCTGGTTGTGAACTGAGATGTTACAGTAAAGCGAATGATGAACTTGTCGTGAATGGTTGCTGGAATGAGGAAGAGCCTGCCAGAACTGCTTAGTTCTTTCAGGAGCTTTTCTGTCAGCCAGTTGGGACCCTGGTTTAAATATAAATAAAAAAGAAATACTATAGTTAGAATTTCCAATAATATCCAAAGGTCTCTAAGAATTGCAATCACAAATTCTTATATGAAATAAGATCTCATCACAGTTCTTAATGTCTGGGGAGAGATCAGCTATGGTCAAATCCTTCCAAAGAGACACACAAAAGGCCCAATCTTTACCTTTAGACGAAATACAACCAGTCCAAGATGTCTCTTGGCAGGAATTTCAAAGAGTGGATCACTTTTAACCAAGGATTCAAAGAATTTGGCTATTTCAGTACCCTATAATTGAGGGGAAAAAAATAGTCATATATTGGTTTGTCACAAATCCACTGTAAGACACTAAATTAGGTAGTTAAAAAGAATTCCTTTCCTTACTAAAACACACCATTTCAGTGCATGAACGGCAGCAAACAGAAGAATGACAAAGCTAAGAATTTTAAAGTTTGTCTCTATTTGCCCAAACCTTTGACAATGAACATGAATAACTGGACTGTACATAGGAATTTTCTAGAAGGTTTGAAAACAGAATGTGCCTTCTCACATTAGAGTCCTTTCGCGGCAACCATTGATCCACAATGTGATCCTTTGTATTTACACTCCATCCAGACTTAAGCCTGTACATTTCACAGTGATGGGTTCAGCCACTCACCACAGCCTCCCAGACAGCTGCCCTTGGCCTCAGAGAAAGCTACACAGGAGCACTCAGTAACGTGCACAAGGCAGTGGCTTACCATGTGGTTTTCCATTGCCTATTGCTTCCAAGAAGGGGACAGGAAATGTTTTATCTACGCAGTTAATCTTTACAGATTACTTAAGAGTTAAACCAGCACACAAATAGTGTTCACAGGCAATCTTTGCATGTGAGAGGATTTCTGCTACTCATCTTTGCATCTCTGAACTTACTAAACTCAGCTAATAAGAAATGAACATCATACACTTAGGCTTGTGTTGTTAATTCACATACATGTCGGACGTGAGCCTGAAGCTTTTTCACCCCAAAGGAGCGAAGCACAAACCACAGCTTCAAAGAACGAAATCGACGACTCAGTGGAATTTGCCAGTGCTGTGGAAACACAACAGTGCATCAGTGAGTGCAGAAACAACAGAAGGGAGGGTCCCCTTACCCTGCCTCATCTCCAGACTCAGGGCAGAGATCTCTGCTGATACAAATAATGTTATATTACTGAAATCTGCTAAGCCCAGGAAGCAGCCATCAAGAAAACACTGTCTACATACGTTTCAATTATCTGCAACATAAGATTTTGGCTATTCCCCTTAATCTATAGCCTAAATATGCTTAGAATTTTATTTAATTATTAACTGGTAATTTTAATTTTAATTACCAGTTAATAGCAACAGCTTTTTGCATTTAAAGAGCATGATCAGTTTAAGATGTGGCCATTTACACTCTAGGACTGAGTGCTCACTTTGGCTCCTGTAATTTGCATATTTAAGTGCCATCCTGAACGTTTGCCCAAATCAGCCATAAACAGTGAGAATCGATACAGACGTAGATAGTTCCAAACGAAGCAACACCTACTGCAAAGAAAAGAGTGAGAAAACATGGAATATTTTTAGGGAGCTACACGATCACGTGCAGGATCCGACTTAACCACAAGAGGGACTCGATATCATTTTTCCCTCTCTCCCTCCACTCTGGCTCCAGTGAAAAGCACTATTGATTTCAAGGAAACAATTATCTTTTCAGGACTAGGGTGAGATCATAGCAGAAATAATTGGCAGTGAATATTCCTTTGTATTACTGTACTGAAATCCCCTGTAAGATGGATCCAAAGTGAAATGCCTCGTAGCTCTCCTATGAATACCTTACTCTGAATAAAAATGTCATTCATTCTCCTGCTGTTTCAGAGCATGGTGTTTCCACTGCTTACTCCTATCTCTCTTTTATTACATATCAATGATAGAAGATAATCAGCCAAAATGGAATCAGTAGGAATTACTTCAGCAACACAATGCATAGAAATGACCATTCTCATTACAAAGGCAAGGTTGGATCTCCATCTGTGTAAAAATCTTAAGCACTTCAAAATGAAAGCAGTTTTATAATTAATTTTCATAACCAGAGATCACTGCAAAGTTTTATTATTTATTCTGCATTAGGATCTCCGTATAACTGGTTTTATGTAATAAGACCAGCTATAAGATTGTGAGTGATATGAGTGTGAGGAATTTCACAGTCTGTTTGAAGATTTTATATGCAATAAAATATCAACTTAAATAATAACTTACCATGAAGTCAATAGCAGCTCCTGAGTTGGCATGTCTGAGGTAGACAGGGTTAACACTGAAGGTTTGATGCAACTTGAATTTATCTTTAACCCTATCAATCGTAGAAGGAACTGGATTTAGTAAAATAAGTGCAGAGAAAGACTTTGGAATTTGCATGCTGTCCTTTTGGTGTTGTGTTTTGCCTCTACTCACCAAAATCCAGTGCAGTCAAAATGAACCATCATCCATTTAGAAGGGTTAAAGGTAAAGGAATCTGCATATTCGATTCCATCCAAGAACAATCGAAATTCAGGACATACAAATGCTGTTCCTGCATATGCAGCATCAATATGAAGCCAGAGACCCTCAGCATCACCTGTTGGAATTGAGATTGTTGTAACAAAAGGGACATAGAGAATCAAAGTGCATGTTTAATCTCTCCTCCCCGAAAGCCAGGTGCATGTTTTAGAGGAGGCAGAAAGGCTGACAGCAAAATAGCAAGGAAGGCAAACAGTTACCAATCTAGTTTTATGCTAAAGCTGTGGATCCAGAACCCCAAAATATAGGATAATGCTGAAATCAGATGAACTCTATAATAAAATTCCCCAGGACCACTCAGTTGCACAAAACACGAATAAAGACACAGTGGCAAGTAAAAAGAACCCAGAAATAGAAGCCACAATCTGACCCATAAAAGAAAGTGCCTCAGGTCTTCAACACCAGCTGGTCAGAATTTATGATGGAATAGAATTTGTAACCTATTAAACTGATGAATCCAAAGGATGTCCTACCAAAATCTACCTTCAAAAATCCTTTACTAGGTTAAATATTCATGTATCCATCCTACAACAGTACTGCACAGACTGTATTTCCTGAATAACCATATTAAAGATTTATCAGTTGGCAAATTTCATCTATCTTGAATAAAATGTATTTTAGCATCCTAATCTAAATGTTACAGAAACCACTGCAAAGTCTTGTACTGACTTCAGCAATCCCTAAGACATGTCTGAAAAACTGAGCTGATCAGTGTTTGTACTTTCCTTGGATTTGGTATGAAAAAGTCTCACATTATCTTTTATGTGGTATCATAGTTTAAAATCAGGAAAAAAAGACACTTACAAATTGGACCCAGTTCTGAGAGATTGTCAAATGCACAGACACCAGTTGTACCCAAAGTTGCACAAACCTGGAAAAAACCAAACCTGTTAAAATGGCTTGGGTTGAGGGTTTTTTATGCAGCACTTTAGAAGTCGAGAGCTTATTGTAGACAGTCAGAATATTAAAAATTAAAATTTTGTATTCAATAAACCAGAAATTCTTGTATACATTTTACCCTTCAGCTAACATATTTTAACACAGTAAGAAATGTTTCAGATGTAATTTTATGTTGACATTTAGAATGCAATGCTATGTCAATACCCCCAACCAGAAAGTTGAACATACAAAGACTGGCACTAGGCCTTTCTTTCTGTCTTCTGCAATGGCTTTCTTCAAAGTTTCACCTCTGAGGGAAAAGTTCTCATCCACAGGCAAAAATTTCATCTTCACAAGAGAAATCAAGCCAGCCTTTTCCACGGAAGAATGTGCCTTAAAAAAAAAGGAAAAACAGTAAGAGTGCAAGCTCTGAGGCTGAACACTGTGATAAGTTACAGCCTTACAAAGACAGTGGTGGCAAGAAATGCAATCCTTATTGTAATCGGTATTCATACAAGTCTGAAAGTATCTTCTTTGTGACTAACTGTAAGAAATAATACTCTGTAATTCCAAGGAATAATTCATTTATTCGTGTACTGGTCTCTAGAATATGATAACAGACATCCTCATCTTGTGTTTGGAAGGCCATTTATTAAAACTCAGCTCTTAAAGGAACCTCTAGAAATGGAAATGTCAGTTTACTCCCTCATCCCTGCCATAACAAGATAAATCCCTTACTTGTGAGTAGACCAAAACATCTCACAAGAAAAAGTCCTTTTCGTTATACTAAGAAAGAACCAGCAAGAGTGTTTCTCCTGTTGCAGCTTTCCCAGGGACAGAACAGCTTTGCAGGCAGAGACCCAGAGTGGAGCTCACAAGGAGGAGCAGCACTGAGGTAACAACGCCTTGGGTGTGCCTGTCTCCAAGTGGAAGGAGGCTGTGAAAAAACTAGAGCTGAAGCATGAGATCAGCACCTAGTTACTGGAGTAAAGCTTTGTGAGAAACGGGAAGGAAGTGCAGAAATGAGTCATGTGAAACAGTCTCTTGAGGACCCCACAAACCCTGCCTCACGCTGACTTAGTTTCCCCATCTGCAGAAAGCAGCATTAGAGGAATTGGTGCATGCTTGTGAGTCATTCCTGTATTTTTCTCTAGCTACAGAAATGTGAGTTCACAATGCATGGCCTGAGCAAGACAGCAGAAGCAAATTTGTCTCCTTTGTAATCATAAGAACCTACTTGATCAGATGCATAAGCGATGAGGCGAGAATTGAGCGAGGACTCGTCAGTGTCTGGCTCAGAAACTTTCATCTCCAGAATTTTGTTCTTCCTTGCTGCTAGCAGGGCAACCAAGGTTGATTCACTCACAGTGCTCTGCAAAGACATTGCTCATTTACTGCAACTGCTACTGCATTGCTATTGTGCCAGGGATTTACTGAAGTCAGTGAAGTGCTCAGCTGCCCACCCCTTGTTTTATTCCTACTGCTGCTTTTTTGTGATGCTGTGGAGAGTCATTAGCTGATGAGCATCTCTCTGGGCCAGCAACACAAAACAAAGCCTTTAGCTGCTGCATATTTTTAATATGCAGGACTGAGCTCCAAGGAGTAAATAAATCACATTTTCTTTTTGTTCTACAGATAAAACGAAGTATCTACCATAGAATTATAAACCTGAACAAAGCCCCTTATAACAACACAGAGCCTGGGCACTGATTGCATCTGATTCCAGGGGATACTTGCTTAGCCCTTCTGAAAGGAGGTAAAGGTTCAGGCCTTGATTTTGCAGCTCTCAGAGACACAAAGTAGACATGAGAAAAAGGAAAAATCATTTCTTGTGTGGCTAAGGACTGTGACAGAAGGACAGTGACAAGGATTCCTTCACTCATTGTGTAAGAATCACTCTAGTGCATAATCTGGTGATGTGAAACAGTGTGAAGAACTAAAATCTCACACTCATTTGTCCTTAGTAAGGCCACAAGAGTACCTGCTACTCATCCATAACATGATTACCACTAAAAGCAATAGCAATTCCTATTCTATCATCTTCTATGCAATACTAAAATTTGGGAATATTATGCCAAATTGGGATTTTTCTCTATTCAAACCCATATAGAAAATCTTGTTGGTTTTGCCTCTAGGGAAGTATTGCCCAGTGGGAAATTCACTTGAGTAAAAACAAAATGTTGATGAGGTAACCTCTAATCTCCCCTACCTGCAATACTCCTCCGCCCACACTGTCGGGATGGTGGTGCAGGAATTTATCTGGAAGGCCCAGCATTTTAGCCAACCAATCCATCACATTCATTTCCAGTTCTGTACAGGCTGGGCTAGAGGCCTAGAAAAAGAAGAGAATCAGGTTGTAAGTCACTCTGGGTACTGATCCCTCTTCCAACTGAGAGCTAAAGTAAGTCAATGAGCTAATCTGATACAACTACATGGAGACCATACCTATCAATTTTCTACAGGTTTATGAGCTTCTATTGCTTTCTTACATGGAGACACACATGTAAAAATTCAGGCCATTTCACCACTGGCTTCAGAACATTACAGAGTTGTGTAGAGTGATAACCAGGTAGCACTATGTAGCTGCTGCAGGAGGATACAAAATACTTAGATATGCTGGGCCAGACCACCAAACAATTATTTTCAGAAAAGTAGGAAATGTGTTCTCTCAAAGGAGCAGGAGAACTGGAATGGAGCCCAATCTAGCCTGCAGTTATGGATGGTGGCTGCTCTATTGCCTGCAGTGCTTGTGTAACAGTCTTGGCATTGAGACTGGATGTCAGGGAACAATGCTCACAGTGGGATATGCAAAGAATTAGAAAACAGGCATTTCTAGTGGTATATTTTCTTAATTCACCTCTCATGACTAGGTAATGTTTGTTCTCATATATTCTTCTGGGTTTTCTTTTTAAGTAACATTTTTCATTTATGCAAACAATATACAGTTGATTAAAGCAAGTAATTATGCTGACTCCAGAACAAGAAAGAATGACTATAACCTGCTCTTGCATAATACACACAGGACATGAATCTCTAACATAGCCCCAAAAAAAGATTTACCCATGTGAATCCCAAGCAGTTAATTGCATCAGCCAACATATCTCCAAGGAGTGAAGGCCAGGAAGTCAGAGCTGGAAAGTAGGCATGCATGTGTGGGCTTTGCCAATGGACTACCTAGAACAGAATCATCTAGAAGTTAAGTCTGGAAATGTCACAAAATTCTGCATGAGATGTAGTGATTAGCGTCTGTTTAAAGAGATGGAAAAGGATCACAGCAACATAATATGTGTAACTATGCATCTGCCAGCAGAAAGCTGCAGACAGTATCAGTAGGAGTACAGCACTGGCAGATGATAACACTGTGTTGGTATTAGATAAATTCCAAAGTACAGCAAAAGCATTTATCTGAATTAAACAGACACACAAAGATTCTAAACAGGAAAGAATGTTGTGCTACGTTCAGAAAAACAGAGTTAGAAACATTTATCAAAATATTTATCTCTATAAAGGTAATCTTTGCAACAAAGCTACTCCTGCTCATTTTGTCAAACAACAGCTTGCATTTAGCTACACACAGCAATTTATGACTGTATAAACCCCTCTGGACACCTGAAGAAGCTTGTGTGTGGGACATCAACATAAGCATACCTCATGTGAATACCTCTCCTACATCAGATCAAGTTTTGGCAAACATCAATAAAAAAATTTGAGAACAGACTTTGAAACAGCTTCTTACATAAAACATTCAGTGATATGAACTTCCCTAGCAGAATCTGCAGTATTTATGTACAAGAGAAAGAAAACCTTTACATTCAAAGAGCAGGAGACAAGTCTTACGTGACCTTGGGCAAAAGTTATTTCAACTTGCTGTGCCTGAGTTTCCACATCTCTGAAACTGAGATGATATAGCTCAGCAGGGAGAGATATGGTAAAGCTAATGATTTTCAATCATGGGTGAATTTGTTTCCCTATAGGCAAATATGAGTTAATATATAAAGTACTTCAAAAATACATTCAGTCTATCCCCTGAAATTATTGTTAGGAACACAGCAGTTATCTCCAGAATCCTTCTGTGGACACAATGTCTTCAAGACTTATTCCACATTTTTGGGTACTTTGTTTAGATAAATGTTCCGCAGAACCTGCGTGTTCCCAGGATGTGGTATTCACCCTAGGTAGTAATGGTATTTTCCTGTCATGATTATGTTTTATTTCTTACCCCTGGCATAATAATCTTCTCTATATCTCCAAAGATGTTGTCCCAGCTGTCTGGGTCCATTGGAGCAGAATCTGGCAACTGGGCTCTCATGTAACCTGGCTGCACATCAGGAGTCACCCGTCTCTCTCTCACATTGCTCAGGTACTGGCAAATGTAATCCACCATC